TACATGTATATAATATACTGATTAGGATAATCAACGTTTCCCCTTCTTTTACATCACTCTGGTTAGAGACTGTGGAGCTCATCTATTTGCTCAAAAAGTACATGGTAGGTGATATTCAGCTGTAGTCAGCCAACTGTGCTATGTAACATGAGGAACTCATCCCTTCCATCTAACTCGGCTTTGGTACGTTACCTAAACTCCCTTTATTCTGCCATGCCCCTTCCGACCTCATGTAAATTAAGCAGACACAGAAAGGCAAACACAGTATGTTCTCTCTCAGTTGAAGAAGCTGCAACTCTGATTACAAACTAGGGACTACTAGGGTTTGGGAGTCTCTTCAGACCCTGCCTAAACTTTGATGATTGTCTAAATGGCCCTGCTCTTTAATGAAGTGAAGTACTGCTGGGTTACTTCCATGCCCGGGAGGAAGAGCCAGAAGCTGACTTTATATGATAGGTTTATGTGTTTGCTGAATGACTAGTTCTTGCCTGGGCTTCATCTGTATTTCCAAAGTGGAATCCTGAACAAATTTTGCCATAGCTGAAAGGTTTTTGTCTCTGGCTGAGGTAATGCAGACATTTGGAGCGAACACTTACAGGTTGGGCTTGCTTACAGGAATGGTTCTTTGTCTCTACTTTTGTGATTCTGTCCTCACTTACCTTTTACTGTCTTTTTTTTTTTTTTTTTTTAAAGCCTACAGCACCCGGTATTCCCAGGTGGTCTCCCATCCAAGTACTAACCAGGCCCAACCCTGCTTAGCTTCTGAGATCAAACGAGATCGGGCGCGTTTGGGGTGGTATGGCCGTAGACTCCCTTTTTTTTTTTTTTTTTTTAAAAAAAAAAAAAAAAGATTTATTTATTTGAAAGAGTTACGCAGAGAGAGAGAGAGAGGTCGGTCTTCCATCCACTGGCTCACTCCTCAATTGGCCGCAACTGCCGGAGCTGTGCTGATCCTAAGTCAGGAGCCAGGAGCTTCTTACTGGGTCTCCCACGTGGGTGCAGGGGCCCAAGGACTTGGGCCATTTTCTACTGCTTTCCCAGGCCATGGTTGAGAGCTGGATTGGAAGTGGAGCAGCCAGGAGTAGAAGCAGTGCCCATATGGGATGCCAGGGCGTTAACCCACTGTGACACAGTGATGGCCCCTACTGTCTCCCTTTCCAAGTGAAGCCCAGTTGGGACAACCCCTTTGAGAGTCAGTCTTGTGTTGTCTTCTACCTGTCACTATTAGTGCACTGGTCACAGAAATGTTCCATTTCATGTGTTTGTGTGTGAGAGAGACACATTGATCTCTTTTCTTGTAGGAAACATCTGTTTTACAGGCTTTGCCTATTAACATAGTTCTTGAAGGGCTCTTGCAAATTATAAAAGGGAAAATTGTGTTATTTCATAGAAAACCAGATAATATACTATGGAAGATTTTGTGGAATTAGTATTACTTGATAGTGTAAATTATTGTGTATTGTTTTTAAACAAATACCGTCATATCTATTATGTGAATTACAGTGAGATGTTTCCTAAAAGAACTCTCACAATCCAAAATGAAGGCAAACTTATGAAATCTTACTTAAGGTAAACATTGTTAATTTTACAATTCATATCCTTTTTTCTTTCTAATCTTTTTTTAAAAGCTTTCCAAGAGACTGATGGACAAGAAGTTTAAAGAGCCAATCACCAGTGCATTACAAAAGCTAGAACAGCATGGTGGAAGTGTAAGTAAGACATTATTCCCTAAGTCATGTATGTTTATTTTTTTCCTACTATTAGTCATATTGAAAAATGGACTATATATTTAATGTACATAATCTCATAGATGCAAGTAACCATAGAGGAAATTGTTTACATTTTTGGAGCTTGGGATTTCTGTCTTGTCCAGGTCATGCAGTTTTCAAGTACCGGGGCTTAGACTCAGCTTATGTAAATCCAGGCCCTCCCTTTCACTGTGCTTGCTGTGTGGTATTCAGTGTGGTACAACTTTAGGAAATGATTAACTTACAGTACTCATTGAAAAATAGTTTCCCAAGATTCATTTACCATCTTTTCCCTCTGAAAATTTAGAATGTCTGCATAATCATAGATTAAAATGATACTTGCAAGTGACTACACTATTGTATCTGTAACTTCATACATATTTTTGTGTGTGAACACACACATCCTAGAATAGTTCAGTGCATTCTGACTTAACAAGGTGCAAGAATGGGGTATATCATTACCATATGGTATCAAATAACTCTTGGTTGAATGGTCATTTCAAAGAATTTAGGATAATCTAGTCTTGGAGTCCTAGAAATAGTTCCATAAATTAGTCTTAATCAGATTTTAATGATAGGCAGAGTTAGACAAAGAGAGAAAGGTCTTCCTTCTGTTGGTTCACCCCCCAAATGGATGCTACGGCTGGTGTGTTGTGCCGATCCGAAGCCAGGTGCTTCCTCCTGGTCTCCCATGCTGGTGCAGGGCCCAAGCACTTGAGCCATCCTCCACTGCCTTCCTGGGCCACAGCAGAGAGCTGGACTGGAAGAGGAGCAACCGGGACAGAACCGGTGCCCCAATTGGGACTAGAACCTGAGTGCCAGCCAACACATAGTTCTCTTAACAATTGCAGAACTAAGTTTCATTTTAGGTACTTTATGAAGGAATTTAAGAAATTTAACATGTTTAAACTTTTATAGAATTAACTAATTTAACCAAGTTCAGTGACTTTTTACATCAATTATATTCTTTCCATGAGGAATGCCTAGGCTAAAGTTTGTGAGGAGGAAGTAAGTTCTTAAGCTTACTAGGGAATGAATTTGGTTAGGGTCCCAGATGGAGATTTAGCACTCAGACAGTTGGTTGAGGAGATGTGTGGCTGGGTGGAATATTCCCTCGCTAATTCAATGTCCCCTCTGACCAGAAAAGAAATTCTTGCCGGTAAATGTGCTTCTGAGAAATTTAATATAAGAAATTTTTGCCATTTCTTCTCCTGCGATTTAAGTAAACAGATGCTAAATCACAAGGACACAGTTTCTCAGTCTGAAGTTCTCCTTAGGTGCTTTAGCACATCTTTCGTAGCAGTATAGAAAATGAGACAAATCAAAAGGGACAGGACCAGTGAATTTTCCTAGGTGTGTGTGTGTGGCAAGGAGAGTCAGCGTGTTGAAATTTGGAGGGGGAATTGGAAGGCTATGGTTGAGCAGTCCTGGCTGTCAGACAAGTGCCTCTTTAATTGCTTCTCAGTCTCCTTGCTTTGGATCTTGCTAGAATAGACTACTGTATAGTTATGAGAGCTGTTAGGTATTATGTTCTTCAGACTTCTCAACTTACCTCTCCTTAAGTGCTCCATAATTTTACAGTAATTGATTTAATTGTGATAGACTTTCTCTTGTCTCATTACTTTGTAATCCTTTATGAAATTAATGAATGCTTTTCTAAAACCTTAAAGGTGTACACATCCATCACTTTCTTTAAATGTTAGAAATGAACGTTAAATGTTGACGTTTCACACTCAAGGCTTCAGCATATCACAGTAATGGATAGGTTCAACTTCCGGGTAAACAAAATCTCTGTTAAGGCAGGTAAAAACATTTGTGAAGTGGTGACATTAAGTGGATGCATTCTTTTAGTAACTGTATAAGAATTTGTTATCTGGCAGGTACTTGGTGTTAGAACTCATTTAATCTCCTCTATAATTCTCAAAGGTAGATTTTGATGTTCTCATATACGCATTAAGAAATTAGGATGGAGAAAACTGACTGCTGGAAGCCAAATTCAAATACTGATCATTTGAATCTGAAAAACATAGGTTTTTTGCTTTGTTTTTTAACTCAAAAAAAACTCCACTTATTGCATCATTTGTTTTGAGTTCTGGATATTTTTTAGGCATTCTTCTGCAAACATAATTAGGGAAACTTGGAATGACACTAATGATGGTACATTATTTTCTCTTGACAGGGAAGTCTTACGATCATCAAATCTAAAATCCCAACATACTGCTCCATATGCTGTTAAATAAGGAGCCAACAAGTCATCTTACTCTCTGGTGACAGGTATCCATCACTGACATTCGAGTACCCATGAACTTTGTTCAGTTTATTTTGTAAATCACAGCTACCATTTGTTGTTTACTAATAGTAAGATGGGAATCTGCAATCCCACTGAATCAAAGTAAAAGGTACTCATACCAAGTTAATGGAAAACTGAAATTTCTAATCATTTGGGTAAGAAACTGTAATCACATGGATTGGTATATATTTTCTAGTGCCTTTTTATTTGTATTAAACAGTTTGTAGCTGTGTACTTATTTTTATATAGACTTTACATTTCTTGGATCTTTACCAAGTGAAAATAGGGACAAATGCCTGTGAATTCACAATTACTTGTAAATATTTTATAATAGAATGTTTGGAAAATTTTATTAAAAAAATTTAAGTGTATGAATTCTGTTACAAGTATGTTTATTGCATTTCAGTTGTTGTTATTTTTACATTTCATAACCTGAAAATACTGATGTGCAGATATATTCAGAAATAGTTCAGAATTTCGATGTCATGGAAGTTATAAATCATTCCACAGAAGACATGGAGGATGAGAAAGACAAGACAAAAATGAGATCTTTTAGGGGAATAGAGACTTGAATAGCTACAACTATCCTTTGAAAGGGATGGAGACCACCTGCCTATTTGGGAGCAGCAGGTGCGCCAGAGAACGCCTTATCCTGCATGACATGTGGCAATTCTTATTTCAAATACAGTTGCCAAGCTGTAATTTGAGAGAATACAGGTACTTTCTGAGGAGTTATAATGCAGAAATGCTCCTGCTGTTTCTCCTGGTTCCTCTGGCCCACTCTTGTCACATCCTCAGATCATCGTGGCTACGCCAGTTGCTTACCTGCTCTCCTTGTGTTTTTCTCCTTTGCAGCCAGTGCCACCCAAAGACACACACAGTCTGGAAAATGTCCTAAGAGCAAAGTAATATTTTGAAATCTGGTAATAACAAAGTCTGTTAGAATAAAGACCTAAACACAGGAGAGTTATAAACATTTTATTTGCTTTTATTTTTCCTGTTTGAAATACAAAATGTGCACATTGAGTTTTCACAAACACGCGATGGCAGATTTCAGTGTACATGTATTGTACTACTCTTAATGTCTACACTGGTGATAGCAGGGCAGCTTTCAACATCCTATCTTTACACCAGAATAGATACCTGATTTAATTGTTGCAAAGACAGTCGCAAATTTCTTCCTCCTGTAGCCTCTTGGTCTTTGTGATATTTCTACAAAACAGGGAAAATGTATGTATCTTTAGTAATGTTTTGGCTTAAGACCATTATGAAGAATCTGAATTTCAGGAGTTTTTTGATGAGCTAAATCATAATGTAATACAGATGTGTTATTCAGTACTTATATTCATTTTCTACTAAATCTTGGTAGTAGCTCTCAAAATCTTGGTAGTAGCTCTCAGTATAATGGAATCACTGGTGCATTCAGAGTGATTTTTGCTTTGTTCCTTGTAGTTATGTCCCTAAATGGCTGCAATGTGAACTTGCTATGAGAAGGTTGGGGGAAAAGGGGATGGATTTGGACTTAGTGATGTTAAGGACCCCTTGTTATTAAACATTAATTACCATGTACTGGAGGACAGATATCCTGACCCTTTGCATATGTCTGTAAACATCCTTACATTGTTTCACACCTCCTTGAACTTCCACGTAATGACACAATAGAAAACATCCCATAAGACTAAACAGATCTGAAATTATATACATTACGTAGGCCTTGGCTGTAATGTGTATTATGGAAAATTAAATGCTTATTAAAATAAATTTTGTTAGGCATATGCTGACATCTGGTAATAAACTAATTTGTTAAATGTTATAAAAAATGCCAGATAATGTCTTTAACAGAAAGCAGCAAATCCATAGAAATTGGGACTATGTGTTTAGTTTTTATAGTTTTCTTGACCTAACATATATACGTGGGATTACAGCATACAAACATGAAAATAAATATAATTTTGGAAATTAAATGCAGATGTCTATTTTAGAAAACCATTTAAAATCCTAGGACTGAATACATACAAGTGAGTAGCAAAAAACACTAGTATGTTAAAATCACTGATATGTGAAAGCCTCAATAATCCCATGGCTAAAGAATAAATAAAACTATATGCCAGATTCTATTACTTTTGAATATTCACGGAGTAAGAAATGAGTTAGAACATCCCATGAACTCAGTGACATTATGAAAAGGATGCAAATTTATAACTGGAAAACTTAAATCTTTTGGGAACTGCTTTATAGTAAAACAAAGCTTGTTTGCATAATATGCCTCAGTGTAAAAGCTGAGCAATCTATGCTAAAAGTGGTTAGCTCCAGCTTTGTGTGGTGAGATAGTTCACATTTGTCTGTTCAGTTGAGGATCTATTTGAAAGTTAAATCACATTTTCAAAGAGTTGCATGGAGCGCATTATGTTTTCATCCTGCAAGAGATAAACAGGTTAAATTCAGCATGTACATAACGGAAAGAACATTATTCTGCACCTAACTAGTCCTCCTCCACCAACCTCCTATGCCAGAAGCTCAGGCACTAATTTACGTTGGCAAACATAAATGTCATTCTATTTGCCACATAGTAATCTGTTTTCTTGCATCTACGTAGCTTTTTCTGCTTCTCTTTAAATCTTACTAGTGTTAATAGGTTATTTTTCAAAGTGTAAGGCAGAATTGACAATCAGAGGCATAAAACGGATAACTCAAAGTAAATGAAAAATTTGGGATTTTAGGTACTTTTGTACAGGTGCAAAGAAATAGTTTGTATGTGAGCTATGCTCTAACTTCATGAGGAAGAGTTGGGGTATGGGAGGAAGATTTGTGAATCTGGAGGAAACATTCATAATAATCATAGTTCTCTGTATATCTGCTAGTTATAGCAATTTGTCCTTTTAGAACCTCAAAAAAATGGAATGTATTGGTTGGGAGAAACCATTGTCCATTGGCTGTATTTGGTATATTCCTTAGAAATTACCTAAGTAAAGAGGACATTGGGGGACACTTGCCAATTGGATGTAGATGACACTGAGCTGTTTATCTACACATCAAGTTAAAAAAAAAAAAAAGCTAGGTAATTTAACACTAGTTTCTCAAATAGCAGGTAATGGCTTTTTCCTCAAGAGAATTTTTCCATTCTGTTTTTTGTGACTGAAAGAAATTACTTGGTTCAGCTAAAAAGCCATTTCTTGTCCACATACACTAAAGCAGCATTTCTCTTAGACATAAACTATAAACTTTGCTTGTGATACATACTTGTCCGTAGGGGATTTTTAACTCTGTGGAGATACGACAGATTATATATAGAGTCTATTTTCAGTTCTTGGAAAGAACAAGTCCAATATTCCATATGTGTTTTATCCTTGATGATGAATATTCTAAAGGATTTTGAGGGTAAAAACAGGACATGTGCAGCTTTGTTTTGGTCTGCAGGGCTTCCCACACGGTTAGTCTGCTTTAGAGTCAGCACTCTCTGATGTTGGTTGGTAGACAGAGTTGGCCTTGTTTTCGGGGTGTGGGCGTATAGCCCCTGTTTTAATATTATCTCCTGTGGCCTTTATATTTTGATTAATACATGATGGCTGGCTGGCTATACTCAGTCTAGCTGTTAGGAAAGCCAAAGTGATAGTTTTTACTCTCATTACTTACTTTTTGGCAACTTTCAATGAACTCATCAATGGTAACAACCCCGTCTTTATTTTTGTCCATTTTCTGTTCAGGAAGAAAAGAATACAGTTTTATTCAGACGTATGCCTTGATCCCCTCATACTAACCCAGCTGCCTGTTTGTACAGGAACAGATACTTTCTTAGAGATAAGAATCATACGGCCACATTCTTTTTGACTATCCCCTTTTCAGTGTAATGCGGTACAGTCACTCTACACTGGGCAAAATCCTGCCTTCCAGGATATGACAGCTCAGGCAGAGAGATCTGGTTTTCTCATCTGCAAAATGAGCCTAATCGGGAATTATGACCCCACAAGGTTCTTGTGAGAATTGACTAAAAGCAAAACTTGTAAAATAAGAGAATCACAAAAGGATTAACTTAACAATACTCACGGACCACTTAGTTTTCTATCTAGGATGTGGTGAATGTTGTGAGTGTAGTTATTAGAATAAAATCAGAACCAAAATTATTAGAATAGTTTAGCAAGCATTCTATTGTTTTATTCCTTTCAAGAATACTTTTTAGTCATTGTAGTACTTTATAGACATCAAGACATGTGCCCTTAATTGTACTCTCTCCCTGACTTCTGCTTTTGTTCCTACCTGGAAAAATGTCTCGACGTGTTGTCTGGGGGCATCTTCTTTGAGGACAGGATATGTGCATTTGCCCATCATATCATATATTGCTTTCATTATATCAAGCATTTCCTGAAAAGAGGCACTCACAATGAGACAGTACATAGTATATAAAGACACCAAAGAAAAAATATTTCAGGTTTTTTTTATAATTTTTCTTTGATTCTTCATTAGGTAATTGGTTGTTCCAAAGAAAAGATAGTAAGTAGCTCTCTGCCTTAAAAGCAGCAGAAGTAGAAAGTAAGAATCAATTCTAATCTTGGTTTTAAAGTGAAGCAAATTCTCACATATGTAACATTTTCAAGAAAAGAATATTCTGGTTTAATATTTGAGTTCCTATAGAGTATCTTTGTTTCATTGAGTTACTTTATATGTTGACTATCAATTTTCATTTACTGAAAATAAAATATACATCATACATTAAGAGTAAAATAAAGACTAAATAAAGCAAACTTCTGCTTATAATTGAGGAGTTCAAAACTCATTAGGATTCTCATTGTTTTTTTTCCACTCAGGCTTTAACTAAAGAAGTCATTCATGAAGACTAGTGAAAATATTATGACACTTGAGAACACCTTGACTTTTTAAAGAGTAAAACAAAAATTAGTTGGTGCCTTGTTATTTGTAATGTTACATGAGTAAAAATATTGAAATACTTAATTATCAGATTTGTTTGTTTCCTTCATATTGAAGTTTCACTTAAAAGGCTTCTGTATTAGGTTGATTTATATGTTTGTATGTGTATATATATATGTGTGTGTGTGTATATATATACACATAGAGTATTCTCATAAATTATAAAGTAGTGTTGATTTTGTAAAACAGGTAAAACCTTGCAAGATGTTTTGAGTATAGGTAAGTAGCAAGCACTTTGATACAATTCACTTTGTGTGGTACCTATAAGTACTAAACAGAACATGTTTGTGTTAATCAGAGTTCAAAAGGAATTTAAGGGACTATAAATAGTATTTCTGAAGCTCTTGGATGTTACATATTGGTATACCATGAATATTTAAGAAACATTAACTATTCAGGATATGCTCTGTTTGCATGTATACTTAATATTCATGAAGTCTTCTGAACCCATTGGTGCTACCCATTCTGGGCCCATAGATCTTCTGGTCACAAAGCATAAATAAAACCCGTGACTATTTATCAAGCTATAGGTGTGATCAGGTTCACTTTCCCTGTTTCTGTAATAGAGCAGCCACAGACCATTAGCCCTGCATACTTGTTTTCTGTGAGGCCCCTTGATCAAAATTTAGCTGTGGGGAAAGCTAGTGATGCAAAAAGAAAGGCCATATGAATAATGAACCAGGATTTGGGTGGTGGAGTCTTGCAACCCTACCTTCACCTTATTCAAAGAGAGGTTAACTTATCCCATTTCTTTCCCTTTGTTCTTTGACTGTTTCAAGTTGATTTAGCCAACTCTGTGATAGGAGCATCTTAATTTGGTATGTGAAACTTCTTTCTTGGATAGCCAACCAGGAATCATAGTTGGAATTCTACAATTGCAGCAGGTTGCTCCACTAGACACGGGGTCATAGCATCATCCATATGATAATGAAATTGTTTCCCTATGGATGCCATCATAAAGGGAAAAGAAAACAATTTCAGGTCAAAGATTCTAATAGGGTTGGATGTATTTTCTTCCTGTTCGACTCCAACCAAAGACTTTATTCCATTCACAGTATTATGAAGATGCCAGTAGATACAAGTTTTTTTTGTGTGTATTTTATATAAAGGCGGTGTCAAAAATATTCATGGAAAAATGACATTAAAAGGTAATGTGAATATTGAAGCCTCCTTGTATTTATGTTGGAAATTCACCATAAATTATACCTATCCATTCCAAAATTTTTATATATCTTTCACTGCCACATAAAATGTTATAGATTTCCTAAAAAAAAAAATTCAAGTTAATTCTTGCAATTGCGTACTATTTTGAAGTTAAATGAAAACAGTGAGCATAGATATTTTAGTGAGGCATCTCTTACTTCTTTAGTGATGTAGCCATCTTTATTTATGTCATACAAATTAAATGCCCAGTTGAGTTTTTCTTGAACTGTCCCCCGGAGCAAAATGGAAAGACCTTTGATGAAATCCTAAAAGGAAATAAAAGTGAAAAGACAATTCGATATGACATTTCTTAAAAAAAAGCTGATAAAATCTTCCACATGATTGAAACATGGTCACAACACATTGAATTTTGTACATTTTAGCAAAATGATGAATGTGTTCTTGGTTGTCTCTGAGATGCATTTTTTTTAAAGCGTATTAATCAGTGGTGGGGTGAATCCCCAGATGCAGAACCTGTGGATGTGGAGTGCTGACTGCATTTAGATCATTCTGTTACTACTGAAAATGAGGGCTTTTATTCTATATACTCCAAATTTAGTTATGTGTCCATATGTGAAAGCTATCAATGTTTATATAAGTTGTCCCTTGCTGATTTACTGAGTATTCCTATTGTATGTTGTATTTACTCCTGGGATTTTCATGAATGCAATCATGAAAATTTATTTTCTGCAAATAAATTTAATTTTACCCCTAATTTTTGTTTATTTTCCTTTACTAATTGTGTGGTCTAATACCTCTAGAACAATGTTACATAATAACAATAGATTATCCTTAATTTGTTCCTGAACTTAATGAGAATATATTCGTGCTTTTCCTTTTAGCAGGATGTCGACTTTGATCAAACTAAAGTAGTATACAAGCACCTCCGTTTTCTTGAAAAAATTTATCAAGAATGGCCATTGATGTTTTCTTTTTAGAAATGAAAAAGCGATTATTGAATTTACATAGAATTGCCAGGTAGTCCAAATTAATAAAAAAAGTTGGAGGACTTATGTCCAAATATCAAAACTTAGTGTACAGCGTTACAGTAACCAGAACAATGTGTTACTGGCATTAGAGCAGTGGAATAAAATTGAGAATCTTGATGTAAACCTAAACATCTGTGGCCAATTGATTTTTCAATAGCAGTGCCAAGACCACTGAATAGGGAAATGACTGTCTCTTCAACACATGGTATTGCAGAACTGGACAACCATACGGACTGTACTTCCCCATCTTCATTCAGGACGGAATACAGAGTAAGAACATTTCACAAGAAAGCAATAGAGAATTCTCTAGGCAGAAAGAAGCTGGTGAGTCAAGAGAAGAAAGCATTTCTCTAGGAAGGAATTGCTCCCTTTTAACAGAAGCCACTGCTGAGCCGTGAAGTCTTCATTGGACCAGCAACAAGAAAGTGTCACTAGTGACCGAAGTGAAAAGTTTCAATGGAGTAGAGGGACAGAAGAGTGGTTTCTAGCAGAGAACACTTAATGGGCTGAACCTCCTAAGAATAGTTGATCCAGAATTCATGTTGATGATTGGAGCTATGAAGAGAGGTCAGTTTCCTAAGCTGAAAAGGAGGAAGAAGGAGAGACAGAATTCTCATCCATTGGTTCACTACCAGATGCCTTAATAGCTTGATCTGAATTTTGGCCAAAGTTGGGAGCCAGGAACTCAATCCGTGTTTCCCATGCAGGTGTTAGAAACTCAATAACGTAAGCCATCATTACCTCCCAACAATCTGTCAGAAGCCACAGCTGGAAATTGAAACAGATACTCTGATGTAGGCTGTGGGCATATCAGCTGCTAAGCTAAATGCCCACTCCTTAAAATTTAGCACTTTTTAATAAAGTGACCTATCGTTTACCTTCCTAATAAGCCCCCAGTTTTCATTTGTTATTCCCAGTGTACTGTGGACACATACTCCATCTGTGGTTCTACTGATGGATCCATGACCTGAGCAAAGCCAGAGAATCCTGTTTTATTCCGTTGGCCAAGGCTGTTGAATCTGGCATCCGACCCAACACAGTCTAAGACTAACAGTGATCCTGTGGACTCCCGGGCTCTTCTTAGGTTTGCTAGAACACACATATATCCTTCCTCCCATGTTCAAAGGAACAATTGGTCAGGGAGCCTGCAAGCTGCTGGCATTTTCTTAACCTTAAGGGTTGGAAGGGAGTTGTGGCACAGTAGGTTAGGCTGCCTTTGAGAGCCTGTATCCCGCGTCAGAGTGCTAGTTCAAGTCCTGGTTACTCTGCTGCTTATCTAGCTCTCTACTAGTGTTCCTTTGAAGCAGTGGATGATAGCTCAAATTCTTGAGTTCCTACCACCCATCTGGGAGACCTTAATGGAGTTCCTGGCTTCTCCCTGGCTGTTGCAGCCATTTAAGGGAATGAACCAGTGAATGGCAGATCTCTCTCCCTGACTTCACCTGCCCTGCCTTAGGGTGGGAGGAAGGGAGACAGAAAGAGAAAGATTGAGTAGAGAGCCATGCATGTATGTAGTCTATGTCTAATTTTATGTTTACATAGTTTCATACAAGTTTCTAAGGTTTATTTTCTATGGCATGGTAACTTGAATGGGGTAAACTTCCACATTGAATGAGCTACTAAAAATATTTGAAATACACTATCAAGTACCAGCTGAAGTTTATATCTGATTGGAACTGATAAAAGATATTAAAATGTCTGAAAAATAATATATTTTCCAAGATCTAACTATCATGAAAGAGAGATACCTAAATTAATACATTACTGTCTGGGTAGTTAGTATCTAGGAGGGTGATTTTGGCAACATTAAATTAGAATGGCACTCTGGTTTAATCTCACTGGTGACCATTAAAAATTCATTATTTGTGTCGGCGCCATGGCTCACTAGGCTAATCCTCCGCCTTGCAGCGCCTGCACGCTGGGTTCTAGTCCTGGGTGGGGCGTCGGATTCTGTCCCGGTTGCCCCTCTTCCAGGCCAGCTCTCTGCTGTGGCCCGGGAGTGCAGTGGAGGATGGCCCAAGTGCTTGGGCCCTGCACCCACATGGGAGACCAGGATAAGTACCTGGCTCCTGCCATCGCATCTGCGCAGTGCGCCGGCTGCAGCGCGCTGGCCTCGGCGGCCATTGGAGGGTGAACCAACGGCAAAAGGAAGACCTTTCTCTCTGTCTCTCTCACTGTCCACTCTGTCAAAAAAAATTCATTATTTCTTAACCAAAAGATATTTAATAAATATACTTTTGTTCATAATCTTGGAACTTGGTAAAAAATGTAGGAAATTGTCCCTGGAAAAGATTGTAATTATATGTAATCCTAATACCTGTGCACATCTGATATCCCTATTGTTTTTCATGATATATGACTATAGTGCATATGAACATAAATTATATAGATCACATACAAAAATACATGTAATTATCTATTATACTGTATGTTTAAGGTTATATGCACTTTTCCATATCACTGAAAATCCATTGCTACATCTAAATACATGTTCAGTTGAACCATATGAAATTTCTGATATTTAGGAAAGCCAAAGTAGTAATTTCATATAGTTTAAGCTAATAACATGATCACAATGGCTTTTGAAAATTTTGAACCAGAAACCACAAGCATTACAGTTTAAGTGGCAGCCTGGTACACACACATTCATACATAGAAACATACACACTAATTATTATTACTCTGATAAAACCATTTCTCTTCGGTTATTTATTTTACATATTCTGGTCATTAATCTCTAATTTCACCACCTACTAATGGTTGCAGTCTGAAATTTGCAATATTGCTTGGTTATATGGATGAATGACAATTTACCCACTACTTCCATTTTTAGATTTGTAAATTTAAATTTTCTTTTTATTATAAATGATGCTGTGGTAAACCTTTTCCTGTCATTTTGACGGACTTCGTTGGAAAAAAGTGGAATTACTGGGGTACAGGGCCTGGGAACACTAAAATCCAATAGTAGTGGTTACTACATTTGTTTAGGGATCCTGGTTGACATCTGGTCAGTTTCTGAAAACCAAAATCTCTCCCCCATCCAATGTTCCTAGATTTGTAACTGTGTACCTTGTATTAGGCAGTGCTCATGCCTTAACACATTTCACATCAGCCTCACATACCACAGGGGATTTTTTGTTGTCTTGATGGTATAGAAGGAGGCTCAAATAGGTGACTGAGCCAAGGCACCCAGCAAATGAGCAGCAGAGCTGGAAATTGAACCCGGACATCGGACTCAAAGCCCAGGCTCTCACTTTTTAAAAAGATTTATTTACTTATTTGATGGGCAGAGGTAGTGGTGGTGGGAAGTAAGGGAGGAGGGAAGAAAGAGATACAGAGATGGATGGATAGGTAAGTCGGTTGGTCGGCCAGTCGGTTTTCCATACACTGGTTTACCTGGCTCACTCCCCGAATGGCTATAATAGCCAGCTGGTCCAGGCCAAAATCAGGAGCCTGGAACTCCGTCCTGGGCCATCTTCTGCCTGTGCTTTCCCAGGCTCTTTAATATGAATCAGAGAAGCTATGAATTGGACTCTAATACGCTGGTGTCTTAATCAGCGCCTTAACCTGCTGCACCACAATGACAGTCCCCAGGCTCTCATTTGAACCAGGACTGGAGTGATAGGCTGTGGTTCTACAGAACAGTCTGATACAAAATAGGCTATACATCTTTTTCTGACTCTGTAGTACATAACTGGGTTACATGATAACAATTTATGAGTGACATTATAGAATATTTGGAGGTGCCAGGATTTCATAATTTTTGCCATAAAATGACATTTAATAAACAAATCAGAAAATGTCCTTTAACTTTCAAAGAGAGAAAAGTCATTATGTGAATATATGTGTGGATATGAAAGCTATAAGGAGGTAAGAGCAGTTAAAGGAGAATCTCAACAGCTACATATTCAAGAACATTGGGTGGGTGAGACAGATTTTAATTCTCTGAACTTGAACATATGTTAACTGGGATCACTAACATTAATCACTAATGTTAATTGGACATTTTTTGTGTGCCAGGCACTTTTCTAAACTCGGTAGATCCATGTTTAATCTTAAAAGCAGCCTCAATGGCACTGTACTGAAGGGGCACAAACACCAGCTGAACTCCAAATGAACAAAACTTAAAAGAATTTCAGCAGTCAAATAAATAAGGTCATACTGGTTTATGCTTGAAAGTATAAATATCCATGAGTCCATACAAGTATTTTGATGTTATCAGATTAATCACTCTTTTGTCCTTCTTATATTCCTCCAATCTCTCTGACTTCTCATTCTTCTCCCACCCTACTCTCCTTCCTAGGTCATCACTGCATTATAAATCCTTTTGATTGTCCGTATTCTTGATATTATGTGATAAAACATGGCACAGTACCTCTGTGGTCTTCCTCCCCCAACACAGTACCTCAGTCTAAGCACCAGAAAAGTATGAGACACTTCCCAGCTGGGGAACCTTGCAGAAAATACTTAATACTTTTCATAGCTATCAAGGCCACTGGAAACAGGGAAGTTTGAGAAACTGAGTGAAGAGACATTAGTACCACTGCCACGTGGATAGGATCTCAGATAGAGCCTGGTCAGAAGGAGGACCTTCAGTAAAAACTAGGGCAATCTGCATACATTGTGGGCTTTAATTAATGTGTTCATTAGTTCATTATTTTCAACAAATGTACCATACTCAAACGGGAAATACCATAAGGTATAGCAGGACTCTGTGCAATTTTTCTGTAGAAGTAAAACTGGTTTAAAATTCAAAGGCTGTTTAAAATGTGAGCTTAAAAAAAAGGAACTAACCTTCTCACACAGCAGATAGATATTGCCTGAATTTCTCTAGAGTGTCCTATAATAAGCTGTTTCCTCGAGTTTCAGTAAACAGTAGCACCTGTGCTACAGGGGTTTCAAAGGCCTTTCCCGTAGGGACCACAGCGCATGTTCAACAAGAGCAGTTGTGGCACAGGAGCTAGCTATATACAGGCGAGTTTATAGGAAAGGGTGGGCCAGAGTGACAGGCAACAAGCAGCCAGAGCAGGTGCACCCCAGCTCATCCTTGGCATCATGATAAATACTGGGGCGTGGCCCAGGTTAAGAGCCCTTATGGAAGAGCAACTGGAGTTTTAGAAATTAGCCATCAGGGGTGTCGTAAATAAGAGTGCCAATTGTTAAATCAACAATGGGAGTCACTGGGTACAGGCTCCCCACGTAGGATCTCTGTCCTTAATGTGTTCTACTATGAAACTTAAAAACAACACTACTAGCCGAACAATCCCCCTATACCTTGTGCGGTTGTGTGAGTGCAGCCTGTTGAAATCCTTGCTTAGTGTATACTAAGTTGATCTTCTGTATATGAAGGTAATTGAAAATGAAACTCGATGAAGGGCGGGATGGGAGAGGGAGTGGGAGAGAGGAGGGCCGCGGGAGGGAGGGAGGTTGTGGGGGGTGAGCCACAACAATACAAAAGTTGCACTTTGTAAATTCACATTTATTAAATAAAATAAATAAATAAGAAATTACGTCAATTACATGAGCTTAAAAAAAGATGTAACATTGTTTGACAATAAGTTAGTCCTATGTTTCTGACTTTTTTTGGGCTAATAAACAAATTATTCCAAAAAAAAAAAAAAGAAAAAAAGAAAAAAAAAGAAATTAGTCATCAGGGGTAGGCTTTTGGTACAGTGAATAAGACACCCTACTTGGGAGGCCTGTATCCAATAGCAGAATGTCTGGGTTTGAGTCCTGACTCTGCTTTCAGTGTCAGCTTCCTGCTAATGTATGTGCTGGAAGGCAGCAGGTGATGGTTGACTACATGAGAGACCCATATTGAGTTCAGGGCTCCTGGTTGTGGGCATTTCGGAGTGACCAACTGGACGGAAGGTTTCTTTCTGTCTCTCTGTCTTTCAAGTAAATAAAAAATAATTACAAAGGGAATTTTTAAAAATTATTCATGAAACTATGAAAACCTAAACCCTCCATAACAAGTGCATTGTTTCTTTTGTTCACTGTGGTCAAGAATGTTCGGAACATAGCAGCACCCAATAAATGTTCAATGAGTGAAATGAAAAGGTATCTGAAGCTCCATTTCACTTTCCTTCCAAATGAGAGCAGAGCTCCTTGGAGTGGTAGCCAAACAGTAACAGATTTATGTGACTAGGAGGGAGAGTAGGGTGGGAGAAGAGAGAATGAAGTCAGAGAGAGATTGGAGGAATATAAGAAGGATAAGACAGTGGTTAACCTGATAACATCAAAAGTTCTATACCTGTTAGAAACATTGACTTAAATAATTCCTCCTGATGTCTGACATTTCAAAAGAAAATAGATGTTTACTTTGACAAATGACTTGTCCTAGAAAGGAAGTTTGCCATATCCATAACTGGTATTTGAGGAACATTTTTTTTTTCTCAACACTGTGATTAGCAAAGGCACTACTCCTGGGATTTGTAATGTGCCCAGTGCACAGAAGCCGGAGTGCTATGTACACTTTATTCTGTGTGAATCGCATTGTCAGTGAATGGTGTTTACAGCTCTGAATGGTAATAGCTCTGATGTCTTCAGTTCCCTGTGCTCAGGTAGGATTATTCCAGAATTGCTCCAAAGAATAAGTGTATTTTAACTCGGACTCAATAACCCAGTTAAACTTGCTATTTGGGAAGTGCACAGTGGTGTGTATTTTGTCGATGATGCTAACAAGATGCTAACTGTTGAAATGATTAAAAAGAGAAAGGGTTAACTATGCAGCCTACAATTATGTCAGCAATTAGTGATATCTGTAGATGGGATAGATTACCAAACCGAATTATCAAAATCGGTTATAATTCTTAGTAATCAAAGCATAGAATGCCATCCTAGATATCTAGCAAACATGTGGCTCAGTCTCTCCCTTGATGGAAGGGAGTCTATTGTGATGGTGAAGAATGTGATTGGAAAACTGTGTTCCAAGGGACAGACATGACCCACCACCTGTTCTTGAAAATAAAATGCTACTGCAACGCAGCCATGCTTCTTTGCTTGGAGATTGTCTATGTCACTATTGCGCTACAACTGCAGAATTGAGTAGGTTTTACAGACTGTATGGCCCACAAAGCCAAACATATTTACTGTGGGGCCCTTTACAGAAAAGTTTGCTGACCCTCAGTTAAAACCATGTTTATTTGTTGTTTTTTCTTTATAAATATTATTTATTTGAAAGACAGAGTGGCAGAGGAGGGGAGTGGGGGGGAGGAAGGGAGGGAGGGAGATCTTCCATCCACTGCTTCACTCACAAAGTGCCTGCGACTTCCAGGGCTAGGTAGGCCAAAGTCAGGAGCCAGGAAATCTATCCAGGTCTCTCACATGAGTGGCAGGAACCAAGGTACTCGGGCCATCCTCTGCTTCCTCACAGGCACATTAAGAGTAACAAGAATGCAAACTTGGCACATTGGTATGAGATGGTGATGTCCTGAGTAGTGGCTTAACCCACATTGCCACAATGACGACCCCAAGAACATAAGTTTTAGAAATGTATGCAGAGATGGGATTCAGTCCTTGTTCTGCCGTTTACTTAGCTGAATGACATTGGACAAGTCACTTAACCACTCTGTTTTAGGCTTCTTATCTCTAATGGATAGCTAATAACACAAGTCCTTCATTTTCTCTATAATTTATAAAAAGAATTTGTGAACTAAAAAAGGAACACTCATTAGGGGGACTAGGAGAGGTGGTGCATTTTAATGCCCAAACTCTTTTGGTGCTAAAATCTAAACTGAACTGACATGAAAGTATTTACAATTATCAATCTAGATTTATCTACATATCTGCCTATTCGCCTGTCATCTATCTCCTATCTGTTACATTAAGCAGAAGACATTTAAGAGCCCAAATATTAGTGGCATTGCACAATATAAGCTTATGTATGATTGACTTGCAGTGACATATGAGAAGGGAAGCGGCTCTCTTCCATGCAGTCATGCAGGGATATAAGTTCCTTTCATGTTGCTGCCAAGTTGGTCTGAAATTTGTGACTGCACAGGCTCCATTGATGAGAAGAGAAAGGAGTGACACAATGGCACTTCCACCCATATCCATTGATAAAAATTCAGTGAGTGTCCCTCCTGAGAGCAGGAGAGACTGGGAATTATTTTAGCTATGCAGTCAGAATGACGAGCATGTAGACCTTGGTGGTCAGTAGCCGTCTCTGCTATGTGTCACTGTTGTTAACAGATAATACACATTTGGTGGCAGCACAGCATATACTCTGTATTACATATAATATTATCTGCGGTATTGCAGTCATACAGCATGCAGGACTTGGCATGCACAAATGCATCTGGTTTAGTTTGGGTTGTGGGATATGGGATTGGGATGTCTGTATTGCTCACAGGCAGAGTAGCACAGTTGCTAAGAAGTACAGTCTGGGCCAGCCTGTCTGAGTTTGAATCCTGGTTCTGCCACTCTCCAGCTATGACCCTGGCAGATTGTTTAACTTCCCTTTGAGTCCCTCCCTTGTTTTCTAAATGGGAGATAATAACAGTACCTAGGAAGACTTAAGTAGTATATATAGTTCACTCAGGACAAAGCCTTTTAAGAGAGCTTAACAAGAGTCCGCACAATTGGGTAAGCATTATGTTATTTTTAAGAACTTACGACAGTGACTGATGCAAAATAAGAGGTTATTATAATTAGAGGTAGACATACATAGTGTCCCATAGAGTTGTCATCTAGTCTGCTTGAATGCGAAGATCCAAGATTACTGTGTAAGGAGATTACCATTGTCTATTAATTGGCTTTGTTAGAAAAATCCAAATAATAACTGCTGTGATTAATATCTAATAAATACTGAGCACAAATTTGGTGGCAGGAGCATAGCCTAGCCCTGTTTTACTGTTATTATTATCTTTTCATTGCATTATCCTGGGAAGTAGCTTTAGTGATTGACATTTTGAGGCCCCAGGGGTTTAAATATTCACCTGGGGTCTAAGAGCTGCTTAGTGGCAAGATGAGGATTAGAACCATTAATTATCTAAATCCAGAACCCCTCCTGCCTTATCCATACTGCCCTTCAGATTTCAGCAACTTAAGTGGCAAACTCCCATTTCCGTGTGTGGTACAAGCAGAATGATCTTTTACCCCCAGCTATGCAACTGCTACTCCAAATGAGTATGGTCATCCCCTGTTTCTGTATTCTGGAGACTTACCAGGAAGCTAGTCAGCTGAGAAAAATAACTTAAGTAGCCTACTTTCAAATTTGATTTTTATTCCACTTAGTAATTTGTTTTCCTTTAGCAGGAAAGGCATTTTACCAAGATGTACGTCATGTATAAACATTACAACTTGTTTCCCAAATTATAATTAACATTCAGCACAATTACCGGTATTTTACATAAATACTAAAAGAGCAGTGTTCTGCATGGTCCCACATTATTAACATCAGACAATTTACTTGTAAAATTGGATATAAGGTACTGTAGGAAATTGATGGTGTATTTCTGATACATTAGTAGTTTCCAGTAATGAAATCACTAGTGGGTTTTGCCTTACTAATCCTCTGCAAATTAGCTGTAAAAGTCTTTATTACATGAACTGAAACTTTTGCCTTCTTTATTATAGCTAAATTAAGGTCGTGCTGGAATTCATCTTGATCGTGTGCAGCAAACACTAATGCAATGCTGTCCTGGGGTGATCTAAGCTGCCATCAGTGGAATAAAGGTTACAGGAGACTGTTACCAGGAAGGACACTGTCACGCTCTCTTCTCTCCCCCCACTCATTGCTGCTTCAACCTCCAGGCTAGACTTGGCTGCCACATACAGTCCTGGTCCCTACCATCTACTCAGCCACTGTCAGCTTCTATTCTCCTATTTCTTGATTATGTCAAATGACATCTGGGGTTCCTCGCCTGTTTGCATGAGGACACAGTGTACGTGAAGAGGACCTTGTGTGTCTGGCAATGCTGCCCCGACACCCCCACTGGATGACGGCTCTGCAGGTTGCACTTTCCTCACTCCACACAGCCCTGTATCCGGAGAGCTTCTCACACCCAAATTTAACTGTTCAGCCCCTAAACACGACACAGTTTGCTGAAATGTAGTGCTACCGATGTCATGTTATTATCCTTAGAATCCACTTCCATCCTCCTCTGCCGTGCCTGTGTCACAGTTGAGGTTTCATTGGCTCCCGTTTGCACTCTTGGAATAAATTACTGCTAATTGCACTCCATGTTTCCAAGAGCTGCAGCTCTGATACACTAATGCCGCTGCTGGAAATCCCTCAGGGAGTGCTCATCTCCTCCCAGAGAGTCCAGCCTCCTCATCCCCGGACCCGGCGTCCGCGGAGACGTGTCAGGATTCCTCCTCTGCCTCCTTGCCCTCTGCCCCGCATGATGCTTGAATTTTGCTTTCCATGTTTTAGATGCTTCATTCAAGTTTTCTCCTTGCCCAGGCTTCCGTTATCTATTCCTCTTCTGCCTCCCTTCCCACTGCTTCCTGATCAGCTCCTGCTTGTGCATCAGACTTGGTTAATCTGGGCAGACATCCTGCTGCAGCCCCTTCCTCTCCGAGTACCCTCTCCAGGCTGTCTCCATTCCATGACTTGTTATCCCTTACGATGGCCTGCAACGAACTGTCTCCTCCTGTGCAAGCAGCAACTTACCTCACTCCCCAAAAACGTGTTTCCCAGTTCCCTCATACCCATACACACACACATGCAACACGCACTTTTATGTCTAAGTGTGTGTATACGCACCCGCCATCATTTTCACATTGTATTATTCAAGAGAGACACTGGAATTACAAGGTAAAATAAGAGATAATTCCACTCCTCAGAAACCATGTGGAGACATTCAGAATACAGTAACTAGGTGAGTTACCCATCCTGCCTATAGTTTTTCTAAAAATAAAAGGAACCAGTCTTTACAGCTAATCAGAATAGCTGCTTGGCTTATCCTTCTAACATTTAGGTGTAAATATATTAGTATGTAACTTGCTGGGTACTATATGAATGTCCTGAATGACGTAACTAACTATATGATGCTATGTGAATATCCAGGGCTTCGTTCATTTTGGTAAATATTTATACACAGTATCTCATAAATAAAGTTGCATGCTTTCTACACAGACCACTCCAACTTTGTGATTAGAGATTTCATTGTGAAATTGTCAGGCTGTGTAAATAGCACTATTCCATATTAATGCCTTACTGGGCCTTTCAGAGCAGGTGCTTTGACTTTCATCATCTTCCTGTTCCCAAGGCCTACTACAGGAAGGCCCAAGTAGCCGCCGGTAAATGTTGGCTCAAACATTTGACTCCTGAGATTGTTTGCATTCAGTTGAGGATAGGGCTTTTCCTTGTATGCACAGATACAAAGTATTGGAAGACAAACTAAATATGGCTTGTAATTTGTTTTTTGGCAGTTCAGTGAGGAGTAGGGAGTGTTCTTGGGCTTTTATCCCCTTGATCAAAGTTTATAAATCACCCAACTCACATTTTCCCACGAACAGCCTATATCATCACTTAACAGTGCCTAAGTTAAACATTATAAAAGTTGGGTAGTACTTACCTCAAAACTCACAGCTCCATTGTGGTCTGTATCAAATGCATTGAACAGAAAATGTGCATATGTTGTAGAGTCTGCAACATGAGATGTAAATATCATTAATTTGTGTTTAAATGACATAGATAAGCTTGCCTATTAGGGCCAATTCTCATTTAATTTAGGAAAATTACTTACGTGTGCTTTATTTAATCAAGGAGCGAGTGAGAATGAGAGCGTGAGCAAGAGAGCACTAGCTTACTGGTTCAAGCCTCAGATGTCCAGAAGCCAGGAACTTACCCCAAGTCTCCCATGGAGTCAGAGGGACCCAACTACTTAAGCCATAACCTACTGCCTCCCAGAATGTGCATTAGCAGAAAGCTGAACAATAAACAAAATGGGGACTGGTACCAGGCACTCCAATGTGAGAAGTGGGTTTCCCAACTAGCATCTTACTTGTTGCACCAAACATCCACCTCTCTGCCTCCTATAGCTTGTGTTTTCTTCTCAATTGCCCACCCTCTCCTAGTAGAGGACTGGAAATTGAGGTTCTTAGGAATGTTGTTGGTGGGAGATACACTGGATGATGATACCGATACCAACACTGGAATGAGTAATTGCTCCACAGGTGGGTATGGGGATTGAGACATTCTAGAAACTGCTTAGTGCTTGGCAGAGACCATCTCTAGAAGTAATAAATATAAATGTACAAATAATGAGATAAAGATGAGTTGATAGTATTAAAGTTTATGTCATTAGTACTTTCATGATTGTACAAATCATGACATGGATACTGGAACTCAGGGAGGTTGAGAAATGCACCCCGAGTCATACAGCCATTAGGATATAGATCTCAGACATGAACTCTGCTCATTCTGAGATCCAGGCTGGCCCAAAGCCAGAAAAGCTGGCTGATGGGCTTGGGACATTGGTAACATGGGACATTTTTCTGGCCTGTTGAAAGGGAGCTGTTTGGTCCTAAAGATTCTCAGCTGCATGCATTTGCCTGCAGGGGAAACCTCCATTCTCTCTGACTCTGGGTGAGATGGGAGACACTGGGTATTGCTGGACAGGTACTGCTGGCTCCCCCAGCACCTCTGTTGGATGCTGTCCAATGACACTGAAGTCCTCTGAAATCTACCATTTCCTCTGAATGTGCTTCTAAGAGACTTTTCTTTTACTGTTTCTCTTTGTCTAATCTCTGGACATTATGCCATTTAATTTTAAAAGATGTTTTTTTCTTATTTTCTTAGTCTCCAGCTTTAATTTTTAAGTGTTTCTGTGCTGGGCCCTTGATTAAATTTACATGATTATTTTAAATGTTCCATCTCATGAGTGTTAGCCTTTTATCTTAACCTTTCTTATCTTTTCATAAAAGATACAGTAACCTTTTAGCTCATTGGCCCTAACCTTTTATCTTCTGTTTAAAATCTCATCTGTTTCTATTTTATGACTTTTAACCTTTATTTTTATTGGGATTTAATGTAACTTCTGTTCAGTTTTTACTTTATGAGTTGCTATTGAAAGGCTATCAAGAAGCTAGTCTTATATGGCAGGAATTGGAGAATTGTTCTCCCCGAATAAGAGAGGTCAGAAGTCATCTCTCACAGCTCCCAGGGCCCATGGCCTACTTATGGATTGATTTGCATGAAGGCCTCATGCCAGTGGTTACTGGTATTGAAGGCTATACATTTCATCAGATTGTTCACTTAGCTTCTCAAAATGATGGCAGCTTTTTCTCTTACCTCTCATCTTTAAATACAACATATAAAATCACTTAGCACTATTTTCAGTGAACTAATCAGGCACTATTGTTGGCTCTGGATATTATGTAAAATCATTATTTCTAGAGTAAGTACGCATCTAGAATTGATGGCTTGTAGGGAGAAATCCTCTTGGATATATAACCAAGGTTTTAATTGCTGTCAATTGAGTGCTAATGTTGGGAAGTGCCACTGTACAGTTGTTAAGAATCGGCAGCCTATCTTTATTTGCAAAGTTGTTTTGCTTTCAACGGTACTTTTCTAGAGTCTTATTTAGTGCCATATGGAGAGGTGACTGGATGGGCATTGTGTTAAGCCTATTTTCGCTAAGAAGAAAAGATATTTTGCATATTTAATAATAAATTTCATGAAGCAGGTCTATTGCTATGCTGTTCACACAATCAGTGTAAATACCTTAGCAAGCAGAGCTCACCACGGATAATGGCTGAGAACAGTGCCTGCAATTGTTTAAAACACTTATAAAACCCGATAACATGGGCATATGATAGTCATTATTCCTCTCACATGGGGTGTTGCTAGCTTTAAAGCTTCACGTGTGAGGAGATTACACTCTCGGGGGTTACACCACTGTGGTACAGAGGACTTCTTGTTCTCAACATACCTTGGCAATTCTGTTACAGTTGAAGCCAGTTTTCCAACCTAGTGCACTATGCAAAGTTTTTGTTAATAGTATCGTAGTTTTCCAACCTAGTGCACCATGCAGAGTTTTTGTTAATAGTATCATGGTAGATACCAGACTGCCTGAATTTTAATCTTATTTCACCAAAGATTCGCCACAGGACCTTGAGCAGATAGTTTAATCTCTCTCTGATTCAGTTTCTTTGGCTATAAAATGATGGCAATATCAGCATGTGCTTCATAGGTCATCAAGATGTTTACATGAGATTCTTTGTGTAAAGTATTAGAGGTAGCCCTATGTACCTATTCAGTAGTCAATAAATATTGGATTTTTTCATCTCTTCTATCACAGACAAGCCACTCTTCATCATTTTTTACAGATATAACATCTTTTCACCTAAAAAGCTTCTTGCTTTTGTGAAATCTCTGTTGTAATTAGATGCAGTTTCGCAAAGTCAGTAGATTTGTGCCATGAGAGGCAATGAGGCTTCTGATGGAGTTTGGATTTCTTTCGGCAGGAATTTGGAGACAGTGGATAAAGAAAGTGGATAAAGAAAGGAATAGTCCTACTGGTTTTAGGCAAAAGCAAGGGGAAATGTGCTAGAGTGTTGACTTGGCACAAAGTGGGTATAGTGAAAAAGAAACTATTCCATAAAGTTCCTGTAATTCTGGTTTCACCTGGTTTTTTGGTTTTGCTTTTTTTGTATTAGGAACTCAATAAATATTTGTTAAAAAGAAGAATGACTGGCTTTCTGGATTCTATATTTCATTACACTTCAGAGGTTAAATATATATAACTATGATCACTCTTCTTGTATAACCTGATGGCATTTGATCACATTTTCTTACATCATCTGATGTAGCTTTCTGCTATGACCTGGGAGAGCAGAAGATGGCCCAGGTGTTTGGGCCCCTGCACCTGCGTGGGAGACCAGGAGAAGCTCCTGGCTTCAGATTAGCCCAACTTCAGCCATGTGGCCATCTGGGGAGTGAACCAGTGGATAGAAGATCTCTCCCTTTCCCCGTCTCCCTGTCTCCCTCCCCCACCCCTGCCTTTCTAACTCTGCCTTTCAAATAAATACATACATCTTAAAAAAAAAAAAAAAAACTGAGTTGAGGCACCTAAAGACACATGGTACCAGTGCTGTGGCTCACTAGGCTAATCCTCCGCCTGCAACGCCGGCACACCGGGTTCTAGTCCCAGTTGGGGTGCTGGATTCTGTCCCGGTTGCCCCTCTTCCAGGCCAGCTCTCTGCTGTGGCCAGGGAGTGCAGTGGAGGATGGCCCAAGTGCTTGGGCCCTGCACCCGTGTGGGAGACCAGGAGAAGCACCTGACTCCTGGCTTTGGATCAATGCGGTGCGTCGGCCGCAGTGCCCTAACCACAACGGCCATTGGAGGGTGAACCAACGGTAAAGGAAGACCTTTCTCTCTGTCTCTCTCACTGTCCACTCTGCTTGTCAAAAAAAAAAAAAAAAAAAAAAAAAGACACATGGTAAAGACATAGAAGGATGAAATTCACAGAACAGAACATGTTAGTAAAACCTAAGGAAATCTGAATAAAGTATATTTTTTAAAAAACGCTGACCCTCTACAGCTCCTACTGTATATGAGGTTGGGAAAGTATTACTGTGACCACACATGCAACAGATCAACCAGCCATTTAATCCTGGCTCACTGTGTGGTCAGCTTCCTGCATCCCTGCACACAAGGGTCTTCTTTTCATCCAGCTGTGCTGCTATCCAGGCACCAAACAAGTGCTTTGTAAACTGCCTCACTGAGCAATGGAGAGAGCTAAGAGCCTGATGCACTACACGTTGTGTCGAGGGTTCTGTAGATAAGACAAAGCATTTTCCTGGAGGAAATGGTATCACTTCCCAGCCTTTTGGCCAATATCAAGTGTAGAAAACTGTGTGAGACACTGTGATTTACAGATCCATCATTGTTACTGTTCATAAAGAGAGAGACTTGTTGCTTTCAGACCATCAAGATGAATAAATGATGAGCCTGGAAGCGTGAGGATGGCCATCACATGAATCTGCCTGCCATGAGAGATTACATTATTCCTTAGGACATTTTCGCTTTTCTAGCATCTCTGTAAGATACAATTTGTATGATATTAATTTTTAAAATTGCATGTCATAATTCTTTAAGATATTTCACTTTTTTCAATGATGCTGGTACTTTTAGATTTATGCATTCAATTAACATGAATAATCAAAGAATTTTTAAGAGGGCAAAAGTGATTTTTCTCAAATCCCTCTGAATTTTGTAAAAAGAATCCTTTGCAAAGTAGATGTTCTCTGCTTAAGTGGGTATTTTGTAAGAAAGAAATTCTTATTTTCAAATACAGATAAACATTAATGAGGGAGCTGTGTCCAGTTTGTACATGTAATATTTTATTTAAAATAATCAAAAATAATGTAAATATTTTCATGTGTTGGTACTTTGATAAGCCTAGCAATCCATTGGCAGACATTCAGATATAAACATTGTTTTTCTTTAAAAAATTTTATGGGTTTAACATACTTCAGAAACAAGTGGTAATACATGATATTCAAATTAATTGTTCAGAAATGCAGACATTGGACTAGTCACACTCCTGTCATCAGGTGCTATAACCAGTACCACTCTGCTATGAACAGATGTCTGTGCACTGAAGGAATGAGATGGAGCAGGATAGTTATCGCCCGTGGTGTATCTGAATCCGTGTAGTTACAGGACTCCCTGTGTTTTCTCAAAATTCTATTTTATTCTCTTAACTATCTTGAATAAAAATTTGTTTTGACAAACCATGTGTGAAATTCCTAAATACTTAAAACCAACGGGTTTGAAAACCAAAAGAACTAAATATTTGGTATCTCTCTTAAGACAAATGGAGGAAAATAAAAATAAAATTTATTCTCTGGTTTGAAGCAACTAATACTTGAGGGCCACATACTTTTCAAAATGCCTTTTAACACTATTATTCCACTGTGCAGTCATAGCCACTGTGGGAGGGGCGGGTGTCACACATTCATTCGTTTTTGGATGTAGGATCTATCAAATGATGTTACCTGTCGTCTGTTCCTCAACCTCTGGATACAATAGTAAACAGAAAAGCAAGAATTTTGCCCTTAGAATAGAGAATAAAATAACAATACAAGTAAAAAATCTATTATTAAATGGTCTTGAGTGCTGAAGGGAAACAAAGCAGGAGAAAAAGTAGGCAATGTTGGAGGGATTGCAGTTTAAGATACGATGGCACTGGAGGGATGGCAGAGGTGGTAAGAGATTATGAAGGATACTGGGAGAAAACAATTCCAATCAAAGAAAACAGCAAAGTCAGTTGTCCAATGGCAGAAACATGATTGATATGTTGGTGGAATGGCAAAGAGGCCAGTGTGGCTGGAATGGAGTCAATTGAGGAGGAGAATGGTGAAGACAAAAAGCAGAGAGAGCACAAGAAATCAATCAATGGCCATGACGATCAGACCACAGTATGATGAAGGTTGTGGCTTGTGCTCTGGTGAGATGGAAGATTCAGAGTAGAGCAGTCACGTGACTCAGCTTCCATTTTAATGGGATCAGTCTGCCCCATTTTGAGAACAGACTGTGACTGGGAGAAGGGATGTGAGGTTCCGATCAGTTCAGAGTCGACTGGGTTTCTTTGGCAGGAGATGGTCATGGCTCTTTAGGTGGAAAGCAGTTGATACAGGTGATGACAAGGTTAGTGGCAAAGTCAACTGTTACTGGACTATGAATCTCTGTTGGGCTGTTCATTCTCAGTCTCCTTCCCAAATATGTCTCTTGCCTCAGTCCCCACGAGCATCTCACCTGTGACTTGTCCAAACCCAGGATCATTATCCCATAACCAGACAGATCCTGGGAGTCACCACAAATCCTTTGTTTCCTCTCTATAGTTGCTCCCTCTCTCTGCTCCACAGAAAGTCAAGTAATCACTTAACTGCCATTTTTATAATCTAAAGGTATCTGTAATCTGTCCCCCCTCCCCTGTTCCTATTCTGTATGACCTGGTTAAACACCTTACTGTTTATATTCTCCCTGAAATAGTCTCCAAATTACGCAGTATTTCCTGCCTGACGTTAATCTTCCACAGAATTCTCAGCTGAATGTATACCACACACAAATCTGACGACCACAGCTCCGAGTAGAACCCATTAGGGGATCCGCATTACCCCAAGGATAAGGTCCCCATTTCTTAACTTGCCATCTATTACGCTCTAGGACATTTCATTCTGTATCATGCGCTCTCTATCCCAGCTACACACAAAATCCTGGCAGCTTCTTACACAAAGTCCATCTTGGGTAACATGCCCTGCACATTTGCATCTGCTCCATTTGCTTAGAATGTCTAGTACTGCCTTTTAAAGATACGATAGAGAAGTAAAAAGCTATTTTCCTTGGAAATGGACCAACATCTCTGCCTCCTGGTTTCCATACCTATACAGTAAGAAAGGGGCCAATATGGTACAGTCCGATGAGCTGTCACCTAGAACACCAGCATCCTATGTGGGAGCCTATTTGCATCCTGGCTGCTGCACTTCCAAACGAGCTCCCTGCCAGTGTGCCTGGGAAGGCTGCAGAAGATGGTTCAACTGTTTGGGCCCCTGTCACCCATGTGGCAGACCCTGATGAAGCTCCTGGCTTCCCTGGCTGTTGAGATCATCTCAGGAGTGAACTGGAAGATGGAAGATTGGTGTGTGTGTGTCCTTCTCTCTCTGTAACGCTGGCTTTCACGTACATAAATCTTTTAAACAAAATAAGGAAGGTCACAGAGTTATTAGATGGTGAGGGGTGAGGCCTCTCAGGGCCAGGCACATGTTAGCTGCCTCTGTAGGGCATCTGCATTAGGTCGGGTTCAACTAACCTGGAAAGTGCTGCTTTTTATTTCTTCCTTGTTCTTCAGCTTTCTAATTATGCCTACCCTGGGTCTCATAATACAATTTTTTTTATCTCCATTGTCACACTTGTACTTTATATTGACCTTGTCAATCTGCTATACTACACACAGCATACATTTGGGTGGAGATCCCATCATTTTTATTACAGTATAAGCATCTCACACAAAGCTGGGCACACAATAGGCTGTGGCACACTGGAGCTGAGCATCTGCTGAGTTCCCAGAAAAATTTACGAGGTTCACAAACAGTTCTGTCCCTTGACTCATCTGTAATATATGTATGTCATCATTATGCTATCCTTGTGTTGATGTTAATTGTCTCAGATGATGGAGTCAGACAATTACTGAAAGGGACAGGAACAGCAGAGGTGAGGCTAAAGAAAAATCTAGGTTATAACCCAGATCTGCCACTTAGTCAACATGTGGCCCTGAGCAAACCATTTAACTTCTCTAAGCCCCAGATTTCATACCTGTAAATTGAGGATAATTATATTTGTCCCATTTTTGAGAGTTGGGAGGGTCAAATGTGACCTCTACTGCATGTTAAAAAGCTTCGTGCCATTTTGAGGCCCCATAAGAGTACAAAAGTGGTAGGTACTTGAGAGTCATAGTACTGGGCACAATTTCTGTTGCATAGCAAATTTTGTAGATTACCAAAGACTAATCTCTTGAATATCTGATAATTTCAAGTACCTCACTTTTATGATACATTGAAAATTACATGCACTTGCATGCTGAATGTTAATTCTTTTACATAAAGATTAAAATTGCAGAGACATGCCATGAAAGATTAAACCAAACTCAAGATTGCAAGCGTAATTCTAATTCAGAGAGTATGTTAACAAGTCCACATTTGTACTTACCTCCCTGTGGAAAGAACTGTGAGTAAATCTCTTTGAAGGTTTCTTCATTAACAACACCACTGGGGCATTCCTAGAGAAAGTGGCAGGGAAGCAGTATGAGCAAAGCATTCATAAAACTGATTTTTTTTGTGCACTGTGAAACAGAACTGCCTACGGTGCAAAGCTGCACCAAGAAAGTTAATCATCAATCCACTATTACAAAGAGAATAAAATTGCTCTATAACTTTTCTTCATTCCATTTCTCATAGAAGTTTTTTAAATTGTAGATGTAATTATCTCTGTCTATTGCATATCAGAGATCTAACATATTAAAAAATACTGCTTGTTTTAAGAACACATGTGTTTACTATCAATGAATTAAGAAGAAATGGCATTGGAGATGGAGTTGTGGCCTAGTGAGTTAAATTGCTGCCTGCAGGCCAGCATCCCATATGGGTGCTGGTTCAAGTCCAGGCTGCTCCACTTCCCATCCAGTGTCCCTGCTAGTGTGCCAAGGAAAGCAACAGAGGACAGCCCAAGTGCTCAGGCTCCTGCACCCACATGGGAGACCTGGATGAATCTTCTGGCTTCAGCTTAGCCCAGCCCAAGACATTTGCATATTTCAAATAAATAAAAATAATTCTTACACATAAGTTTACATATAGCAGGAGTATCACAAGATGTATATAGTATGGAATTTGGTAGATCTTGGTTTTCTGGACTCTTGAAATTTTCTAGATCCACATAACCTTCAGGTCAGTGAGGAAATGACATTCTCCCTTTGGGTCGAAGGTATGTCAAAAAGTTTCAAGAGGGAACAGTTGCTCAGGAGTACATAATTATATGATTTTTTAACAAGTGACTTTGGTTGAGGTAGGACCCCAAGATTTTTCTATTCCCAAGACCTACAAAGAAATAAGCCTGGACTTAATCAGTTCCCATCTTTGTCCATTCAAGCAGCTGCTGTAGATGGATGGATACAGAGCTTGGGAATTGCATGGGCACTAGACTACTGACCTGGAGGGACTAAGCTAAGGCTAGCCTCATGAAAGTGAATTTGCCATTTTCTCTAAGGGAATTGAAATCGAAAATGTCAGGAAGATTGGCTTTGGTGCAGAAAATGAAATGGAAACAAATGGATCTTTGAGGCGAGAGAAAAGCTTTCTCCACTCACCACTTATAAGAAGGGTAGAGTCAGAATTGAGAGATGCAGAGGTTTCTGGAGTGTAGAGACTGATAATGACACAGTCATGCTGCATGTGGGATGGTAACTACATTGCAGGAGGTGAAATAAGAAGCAATGCCCAGCCCTTGTGAGAAATTTCTTATGAATAGTCAGTCCCATGTAACTGAACTCCTGTCCCTTCACTTGTCACTGCACCCCCACACTACCCAGAATTCCCCCAGGACTGAGTTCACTGGGGGAGGGTCAACAGCATGACTCCCGAAGAGGGCTGATTTTAGTCAAGAATTTTCTGTGTACTGTAAATTTGATACTGTTCCTGGGATCTTCACCAATCATCTGTGCAGATCTTAAACTTCTCTTAGCTCTGCACTCATCATTCTCTCACTAGTATATTGTTTTAACAATTTGGCCTTTATTCCAATAAGCCTGTCACTCAACTGTAATGTGTTTTATCTGCAGAGTTTCTCTTTTCTCATTTGTTGGTTGGAAACGTAGGACCTGTGACACCCAAGCCATTTAAAATCAATTCAAGGGGGAATTTTGGCTGACAGAGCTTGTCAACATGGTTTTATTCCATTTTGTCCTTGTAATAAACCCACTACTCAGGCAGTCAGTGTATCTCCATTCACAGAGGTAGAACTTGTGGTGCCAAATGTCCAAGCACCCCACTACTCAGAAAGCCAGTGGAGAGGCTGCAAAGTGGGTCTGAGACATTCCAGGTCAGTGCAATGCTTCCTAAAGAGACCTCCTTAGAAAAATGATGACCTCAGGCAGCTAAGAGGATTGGAGCAAAGAAAAGACACCCTCGTATTGCCCCCTCAAAAGAAAAGTGGGCATGCAAACTGTAATGATTCATTTTATATGGTGATTTGTTATGGTAGAGGCCCAAGTATTTGTTGATACACTATTCTGAATGTTTGCATGAGGGTATTTTTGATGAGATTTATATTTAAATCGGTAGATGTTGAGGAAAGTAGATTTCCCTCTACAGTTATGGTGGACCTCATACAATCAGTGGAAAATCTGACTAGGGCAAAGATTGAGCTCCCTTATCAGGAGGGAATTTACCAGCAGACTGTCTTTGTAATTCTTCATTTTGAAATTTTATTTAAGGTATATACATTTCATATATTTCCTATAAAGAGATTCAGGAACATAGTGATACTTGCCGCCCATGCTCCCACCCTTCTTCCTCCTCTGAGCTCTCCTATTCCCACTCTTAATTTTTACAAAGCCTATCGACTCATCCTTCGCTCATCAGCAAGAATGCCTTTGGGTTTGAAGTGCAGCTCTTCATAATCTCCAGCCTGCTGGCATCCCTGCTCAGAGGCTGGACTGGACAAGCCTTCCCGACATGAATTCTTTAATACATTCCCCTCTCTTTCTGGAGAATCCCAGCTAATACATAAGTGAATTAACAACGAACAAATACAACTCCACGAAGGAAAGAAGATGGCATGTATATAGCCCATTAGTCCAAAGTTCATATTAAATAACTCAATCTACTTGGGAAGGCAGGCAGATTTTAAGAGCAAATGAACACTTTGTAGTTGGACCCACTCCTACATGGAAATTGTGATTAGCTATTTAACTCTGAGCCATCTGCATGGGATAGATAGGAGAGAGCAAATACCTGGTGTAACCCTCTGCCATCAGGTGGTAAATTTGAACAAGGTTGGAGCTGAAAAACTGCCTCCTAGTTATAGACATGCTGACAAGAGATGACAGTGGGAAGTAATGAGACATTTGCACTCAACACACTCAGCACAGTTGTCAGCTGCTTCTGGTCTCAAGATACATTTGATAGATATGTCTCATACTGTGAAATGATATCCAGAAATGGACCACGTCACATGTGTGCGTTTTGTGTTTAATCTATGTGTGTGTCAGGCAAACCCCTTTCTCTCCCAGCTGAATGTTCCTACTCAACAGGAGGTAACTACCACTGGATAAAATTGCCTTCATCCATCTCACATTCATTATATTAATTTACTTCTCTAACAAATATATATTTTATGCCTATTATACTATGAAACCTTCTAGGAACAGGAAGTGCAACAATAAACAGGTCAATGCCCTGACCCTCCTGGAAGCTACTCCCAAATGGAAGAATACAGATAAGCTTCATTATTCAGGCTGCTAATACAAAACACTAATGGAGTGGCTTATACACAACAGAGATCAGATTCCTACTGTTCTGCAGGCTGTGACCACGAAGCCAGTAAACCCAGTTCTGGTAAGAGCTCACTGATTCATAAATTGCACCCTCTAGCTGTGCTGTCCTGTGGTGGGGGCAGAGGGCCGAGGATCTTTCTTACAGGGCTCTAATTCCAATCGTGAGGACTCTGCCCTCCTGACCTGATCTCCTCCTACAGTCCCCACCTTGAGGGTCTGGATTTCAATATATGAATTCTGGGAGGACACAACTGTTCAGACCATAGCAGAGACCAAAAACAAAAGACACTTAAAAAAAAACAGAGAAGGATGATCTTTTATTTCTCTATTGAAACTAATGCATTTTTCTACCTCCAGGAGGGAAACATTAAAAAGACTTGATGAAATGTCTAGTAATTTACAAGATGATTCAAATGGTCTGTGAATTTATTCCTCATCAAATCTTTTGTGGAGTGGTCTCTCCATCTACCCAACCAGAATGAAACTTAGCAGCAAAGGTTAACTATTGCTGCTCTCATGTTCCTAAAGAGACTGTATTGGAATTATTGCTCAAGTAACAGTCTTGGGTGAATGGACAGATTGATGGATGATTCTTCTCCTTGGAGTCAAGACAGAAAAGAGTAATACAGGCTTGGTCATCTTTAACAATCCCTGTAACTAAGCCATTTCTCAGGAGAAAAGGAGCACTGAGCAGTGTGCAAGACAGGGCCCGGTCTTAGAGTAAAACACACCATTTCCATTCCCATTCTGCAAGCATGGAATCACCATGTCCATCACAGAGAACAAAAGTAGTCTGTGCGCCCAGGCAGAACAGCTCGGTGGTAAATACTTAGAAATGTCTGTCCTAGTGCTGTATCTGGAAGATGCTCGCAGTGTCTGTGCCCTGAGATAGTTCTCCCACTTATGATTTCCCAGGCTCATCATCAACGTATTTAGCAATGAACTTTCTCCCAAGTATGGATTTGTTCACGAGGCTGTCACACGTGGATGGATCCATGAGCAGTTAAGTCTCCGGGTTTTGGGGGAGTGAGGAAAGCATCATTTGTGTGTCTTTGAGAAGTTGCAATATCTTCCTCTCTGCTCTTACAGCTTCTATATTATGTTTTCCAATGACTTCTAGTTATGACAAATGGTTATTCCATCAAATTGTGCTTGTTACAGAAAAACTACAATACATAAAATCACCTATAACATCATATCTCTAAGATGAGTTTGGACATTTATCAAAGAATATATTAATGTACTATAACAAGAAAATTGGGAAAGTACAAAATATAGTATTTTATTATTTTTATTATCCTTTAATCTTATAAAACACCCTGAACATTTTTCATGTCAAGATTTTTTGTTTTTTGACAGGCAGAGTGGACAGTGAGAGAGACAGAGAGAAAGGTCTTCCTTTTTCCTTTGGTTCACCCCTCAATGGCTGCTGCGGCCGGCGTACCGCGCTGATCCGAAGCCAGGAGCCAGGTGCTTCTCCTGGTCTCCCATGGGGTGCAGGGCCCAAATACTTGGGCAATCCTCCACTGCACTCCCAGGCCACAGCAGAGAGCTGGCCTGGAAGAGGAACAACCGGGACAGAATCTGGTGCCCCGACCAGGACTGAAACCCCATGTGCCAGCGCCGCAGGCGGAAGATTAGCCTAGTGAGCCATGGCGCCGGCCCATGTCATGATTTTTGAATGGCTGCATAATAATGTTTACACTGAATTTACCATATTGTTGCATATT